ACCCCTCACCTTCTCCTGAGCTGGCTTCTGGTGCGCCAGCAGCTTGTAGATGTTCCAGTTGTTCTCAAAGCTCCTGCAATGACACGGTGATGTGTCCCCAAGGCATGTCTGGGAGAAGGGACAGTTTCCCAGTGCCCCTGGGGTGTGACTGGGGACACCCTTCTGCTGCAGGAGCCAACAGCTTCCCCACAGGGAGAAGGCCCTATCCAAGAGGGATGTCTCCCCTGGTCCTGGTCCCTGCTCCTCACCTTCCACGGAGCTGGATAGCCTCATCAAACCTCTTCTCATCCATGGCCTTCTGCACATCCTTTGTCTTGAGCAGGGAGAAAGATGCAGCACCATGACTCCCACGTTCACAGGGAGGGAGGTGAGACCCCCACCCAACTTCCCCGGTACTCACCACCTGCACACACTCCATGAGCGGCAGCCGCACCGACTGGTTCCCGGAGTGGCTGACCACGCAGGCCGGGGTGTCTGGCGTGGCCTCCAGCAGCGCCATCACCGCCTCCATCCCCATCTTGCTGCTCTGCAAAGGGACAGGGACACCTGTGACACTGGGGCCACCAGTGCCAGCTGGGTGGGATGCTCAGAGATGCTCCCACAGGCTTGCAAACCATGTGGCTGCTGATTCACTGCTGGAAAGCTGATGGTTTTATTTAAAAAACCATGAAATTTGGAATAAATGTGGAGAAATAGCACAGCAGGGCTGAGCCCATCTGAGCCTCACCCCTTCCCACTGGCACAGGGATGGCAGGAGTGGGTTCCCCCTCTCTGTGTCCTCCCCTGGACCTACCAGCACGCGGTCAAAGGCGGACGGGGTCCCTCCACGCTGCACGTGGCCAAGGACGGTGACCCGCGTGTCGAAGCCCAGGCGTTGCACCACCAGCTGTGGGGAAGAGGGGACATCATGTAGGGGACCCGCCGGTGCCCGTGGGTGCCAGGGTGGTGCTGGGGCAGTCCCTTACGTCCTTCACGTAGTTGGAGGTGATGGGTTTGCCGCTGCGGTCAATAGCGCCCTCGGCGATGATGATGATGTTGAGCCGCGAGCCCCGGCTGCGTGTCTGCCACGAGGGGAGGACAAACGGACACCAAAACTCACCGTGGGCCGTGTGTGAGCGCCCTCCCCTTCCCACCCTCTGTGCTGCCCCGGGGGTGGCTCAGGTCACGGGCAGCTGAGCCCCCAAGCCAGCGCTGCCCCTGGCATGCGAGGGCTGGATTTGCGCTCGGCTGAGTGCCCCGGCTCACAGGGACAATGGCGGCAGCTCCCGAAGCTTCCCAGGGGCTGGGCACGGCTGCAGGGCTCAGCCCAGGCCCCTGTGGGGGAACAGGGCATGGCATGGGATGGCAGGAACCCCCCTCACCTCCCCGAGCCTCTCGCACATGAGGTCCTCCCAGCCGTCCTCCGGAGGGGATTCAGGGATGAAGAGCCAGTCAGCGCCCGAGGCCAGGCCGGACACCAGTGCCAGGTACCTGGGGGGACACAGCAGTGGCAGCACTGGCCCTGAAATGTGGCATCCCGTCCCACCAATGGCTTCCCCACCCACGGGGGCTTACCCGCAGTGGCGACCCATCACCTCCAGCACGAACGTCCGCTGGTGGCTGCAGGGACACGGGTGGGAAGAGAAGGAGGTGGGTGGGTGCAATGGCCGGGGCGCTGCAGCCCCCAGCCCGCCGTCCCCTCACCTCTGTGCCGTGGTGGTGATGGCGTCCACGACCTCCATGATGCGGTGCAGCGCCGAGTCGGTGCCGATGGTCATGTCGGTGCCGCAGAAGTCGTTGTCGATGGAGCCCACCAGCCCCACGATGTTCAGGTGGCAGTTCTTCTTCGCCACCTCCTCGCTGATCTGCCCTGCGGGGGTCACGGCCACCACAGCGGTTATTTCATCGTGGGCTGGAGCCCAGGCCTCCTTGGGGCCACAGCACCGGGGTCTCACCACCCCAAAGAGGCTGCGAGGGGCTCACCCACCGTCTCGGACCAGCTCCTCCAGCAGCCCGGCCCACTCGGAGCGGAAGATGTTGGCGCCGGTGAGGCTGCCGTCGCCGCCGATCACGCACAGGTTGGTGATGCCGTGCTCCACCAGGTTGCGGGCGGCGCGGAGCCGGCCCGCCCGCGTGGTGAAGGCCTTGCAGCGGGCGCTGCCGATCACCGTCCCGCCCTGGGGACACAACGGGACACGCGGCGCGTCACACACGCTTGGGGGGCTGGGATCTGGAGCCCCTCGGCCCCGTGGTGACCCTCACCAGCTGGATGATGTTGGAGACGCTGAGCCAGTTGGCTTGTTTGATGTTGTCACCCCCCTCCACCAGCCCCTCGTAGCCCTGTGGAGAAGCAGAGGGTGGAGGTGAAAGGCACCCCAGCACAGGGGGGGTGGATCCCCCCAGCCATGATGGGGAGCAGGGGGGGAACCCCAACCTCATAGATGAGGAAGACCTTGGCTCCCACGTATATCCCCATGCGGGTGACAGCGCGGACAGCGGCGTTCATGCCTGGAAAAGTGATATAGGAGCTGGAGCATTCCCACGGGATCCTGCGCCCCACAGGGGACGGGATCCTGTGCCCCACAGGGAACAGGATCCTACAGGTGACCCTGAGGTGTCCCTTCGAGTGGGGGGAACCCCATGGGAGCCTGCACCCATGGAATGGGATGCGATGGGTGACCCTGAGGTGTCCCTTGAGTGGGCGGGGAGCCACGTGCGCTGAGACCGGGCAAACTCAGCGCACAGCTGGGCCCGTGGACGAGACACTGCCGGGAGCGAGCTGCTCATCCCGGGGGGGCACGGGCATGGGGACAGCGACGGGCACACCCCCTCCGTGGGGCTCCCCCCGCGGGGCCCCTGCCCTCCCACGGCCCGAGGGTGACGGGGACGGGGAAGCGGCGCGGGCGGGGGCACAGGGCAGAGGGGTCCCCATTCCCCATCCGCCCTCCCGGGAGGAGCGCGGGCCGCGGACCCCGGCCCCGGGCGGTCGCGGTCGCGGGCACGGACACGCGGGGACGCGGCGGGCCCGGCCCGACCGGCCCGAGCCCCCCGCCCCGCCGGGCGCACCTTGCGCGTCGCCGCCGCTGGTGAGGACGGCGATGGCCATGCCGGCCCCCGCCATCCGCAGCCGCTCCAGCTCCGCCGCCGCCATCGCTGCGCTCCCGGCACCGGCGCCGCCGCCGAGGACACGCCCCGGGACACGCAGGGACCGGGGACACGCCCCGGGACACGCCCCGGGACACGCAGGGACCGGGGACACGCCCCGGGACACGCCCCGGCCCAGGGGACACGCCCAGCCCGCCGCCGCCACGGAGCGACAGACGGCGGGACACGTCGCCCTGTGTCGCGACATGGTGCCGGACAGTGGGGACGTGCCCCGCCGGCCCGGACCGCGCCATGGTGTCGGAGGTCCGTCCCCGAGTCCTGGAGGGAGCTGCCCAGCCACTCTCCAGGATGTTTGGAAGGTCCTGGATGTCCGGTCATATCCCAGGTGATGGAAAAAAAAGGAGTCGTTGTTGCCATCTCCAAAAAGGGTGGAAAGGAGGAGCCTGGGGCCGGACCTGTCAGCCTGTCAGCCTCCCCTCTGTGCTGGGGAAGATCCTGGGGTAGACCTGGAAGCTCTGCTGAGGCAGGGACAGGACAGGAGGTGACCCAGGACAGCACCAAGGGCAAGGCCTGCCAGACCAACCCAGTGGCCTTCTCTGGTGGGGTGACTCCCTCAGTGGGCAAGGGAAAGGTCATGGATGACATTTGTCCTGATTTCTATACAGCCTGGACACAATCCCACCCAACATCCTTCTCTCTGCATTGGAGAGAGCTGGATTCCACGGATGGACTGTGAGATGGAGAAGGGATTGGCTGGATGGTCCCATCCCGAGGGTCAGTGGCTCAGAGTGGCCGTCAGTGACCAGTGGTGTGCCAGGGTCTGCACTGGGACCAGTGATATTTAAGATCTGCATCACTGCCCAGAGGGTTGGGGGCCCCCTCAGCAGGTGTGCAGGTGACACCAAGCTGGGGGTGCAGTGACACTCCTGAAGGACGGGGCCACCAGGTAACCTCACTATGGCCTTCCAGTGCCTGAAAGAGCCAACAAAGATGGAGCGAGAATATTCCCAAGGGCCCTGAGAGAGGGGAATGGCTTCAAACTGTCAGAGGGCAGGATTAGATGGGATACTGGGAATAAATCCTTCCCTGTGAGGGTGGTGAGGCCCTGGCACAGGTTGCCCAGAGAAGCTGTGGCTGGAAGTGTCCCCATTCCTGGAAGTGTCCAAGGCCAGGTTGGATGGGACTTGGAGCAAGTCCCTGCCTATGGCATGAGGTGCAATGAGTTGGGCTTTCAGTTCCCTGCCCACCCAGAGCATTCCATGCCTGTATTCCATGCCATAGCATGGATGCTATTATGTGCCACCCCAGGCTGTGCCATGCACTGCCAATGAGATGAGCTGGAGCTTTTAGTAGAAATGTCACATTTAATTTTTTAAATTTATAATTATTTTAGGTGTAATTAAAAAACAAACCTATGGAGGTTTGGCCCTGCCATTGATTTGTCATCCCCACTGCCCAGAATGTCACCCCTTTCAGGGAGGGGGGTCCTATTGCTGGATGCCCTCTCCACAGGGGATGGGATCCTACAGGTGGGTGACCCCGAGGTGTCCCTTTGAGCGGGGTGAACCCCATGGGACACGGGGAATGGGATCCAGGTGGGTGCAGTGTGGTGCTGGGAGGCTGCTCCCTCCAATATCCCCATTCCCTGGCAATGGTCGCCATCACCCGCTGCTCTCCCACATCCCCCAGGGGAGTGGGACAGCCCCTGCCCAGCGAAACGGAGTCAGGTGCTGGCAGCTCGCCCAATTCCATCTGTGCCGGGAGCAGCTTGGAGCCTCATCCTGCATCCTCAGGCGCCGCGGGGCCCGGCACATCCGGCAGGGAAGGGGTGCGGGTGGCTCGGGTTAAGGAAATGGGAGAGACCTGGCCGGAGTCCCGCTCTCCTCCCCCCGCAGCCCCACCTCCCCGGCCCGCTTAACATCCCACGGGCCGGCCGCGGGGCCAGCAGCGCCGTGCCGTGCCGAGCTCCGAGCCGGGCCAGCAGCGCCGTGCCGTGCCGTGCCGAGTTCCGAGCCGGGCCAGCAGCGTGTCCCCAGCGCCGTGCCTGGCCAGCAGCGTGTCCCCAGCGCCGTGCCGGGCCAGCAGCGTGTCCCCAGCGCGGTGCCCGTCCCCAGGATGCTGCGGCTGCTGCTGCTGCTCGGCGGGGTCCTGGGCTGCGCAGCGGAGCCGGCGGGTAAGGCAGGGGCACGGCGGTGCCTGGGGACAGCGGGGTTGGCGTGGGGACACGCGGGGCTCACGGTGGCTGATGTCCCCACGTCTCCCGCAGCTCCGCTCGCCTTCACCATGCTCCAGCTGACCCGCGTCTATAAGGGTAATTCCATGTTCCGGGGGAACGCCAGTCTGAATGGGCAGCTCAGCCATCTCCTGGAAGGGAATAATGTCACCCAGGTGCTCCCGCTGGAGCCTCCGGACGCCTGGGCCCGGCGGCAGAACGAGGTGATGGACTACCTGCAGAGCTTCAGGCAGCTGGTGATACTCTTCAACAAGGAGAGACCCACCGATTGTGAGTAGTACCCGGGGGACGGGGTGGGTGCCCCGGGAAGGGGAGCCTCTTCCGTGCTGCCAGGCACGGGGGTGGCTCTGCGGGGACAGATGGGCAAAGGGATGGGGACACGGCCATGTGCAAAACCTCTCTGTGAGCAAAGGGAGCCCTTCTGTGGAGCCGGGAATTTCTTACCCTGGGAATGGGACGATGCTCAACCTGTTGCTGCTCCTCATGAAAAGGGCTGGGGGCTGCAGCCTGTGGGGTGGTGAGGTGTAGGAGCCCTGTCTGCTCCCTGCCTGTGCTCTGCCTGCATCCCACCTGTATCCCACTGGCACCCTGCATTCTGTAGGAGCTGAGGGATGCTGCTGGTGATGGTTTCGTGCTCCTGCTCACTCTGCCCCAAAAGCCCTGCTGCCTTTGCTGCTCCTGCCTGGGGCGTGCTTTCCTTTCCTTTCCTTGGTTACCCCCAAACAGGTTTTGCCGTAACCCCACACTCCTGTACCCTTGGGGAGCCCGGTGTCACCACAGTCTCTGGCATGACCTGCCTTCTCCCTCCTGCTGTCTCTGTCCATCTGCGAGAGCCACAAGCAGCTCTGTGCCCCAAACCTCCCTCTCTGTAGAACCAGAGCTGTGCTGTGTGGAGATAAGGGAGGGAAAATAGTCGCAGCCGCTGGAGAAGCCACTGCCACGCTCAAACGGAGGGGAAGCAAAGCTGTGGGTGGCTTGGGTGGTGCTGAGGCTGTGCAAACTTAGTGCCCAGTTTGCTGCCGGTGAGGTGCTCAGGGTGGGAGCGTGGTGACCCTGTCCCCTCTGTCCCTGCAGTCACCCATCACCTGTGCTGCCACCTGGGCTGCCGCCTCTACCCCAACGGCACAGCGCAGAGCTTCTACGAGGTGACCCTCAACAGGACGGCGTTCCTCAGCTTCCACGTCCCCAGCGCCACCTGGGAGCGGCGCTGGCCCGGAGAGCTCCCGGTGGCCTCCTTCGCCCAGCAGGAGCTGATGAAATACTCCAAAACCACCCAGGACCTGCAGTATTTCCTCAACACCACCTGTGTCAGCATCCTGGAGGCTCAGAGTGCCAGGACAGGTCTGTGTTGGGGCTGGGGTTGGGGAGAGGGACGCAGTGGCGTGGCCCAGTTGTCACCTCCATCCCTCTCGCCTCTTGCAGGAAGGGTCAGCGGCCGATCGCGCACCCCGCTGGTACTGGGGCTGGTCCTGGGCAGCCTCAGCCTGCTGGGCATGGCCCTGGGCATCTTCCTCTGCACGGGAGGGAGCTGCTAGCGTGGGCAGCTGTCCCATGTCACCCCATGGACACAGGGGACGGACCTGGCATCTCCCCGTGCAGCCATCACCACCCTGTGGAGTCAGGGATGGATCCATCATCTTCCCAAGGATCCAGCAACTCTCTGTGGATCCATCACCACCCCGTGGAGGCAGGGGACAGACCCATCATTTCCCTGTGGAGTCAGGGATGGATCCATCATCTTCCCAAGGATCCAGCAACTCTCTGTGGATCCATCACCACCCCGTGGAGGCAGGGGACAGACCCATCATTTCCCTGTGGAGTCAGGGATGGATCCATCATCTTCCCAAGGATCCAGCAACTCTCCGTGGATCCATCATCACCCTGGGGAGGCAGGGGCTGGTTCCATCATCCCTGCACGGAGCCAGAGGCTGGTTCCAGCATCCCTGCACAGAGACAGAGGATGGATCCATCATCCCTGCACAGAGACAGAGGATGGATCCATCATCCCTGCATGGAGACAGAGGATGGATCCATCATGCCTGCATGGAAACAGAGGATGGATCCATCATCCCTCCGTGGAGGCAGGGACCGAGCCCATCCCTCACAAGGGATGCGTGTCCTCAGTGCCACAGGCTTTGCTCCTCAAGGACACAAGTGGCTTCCCAGTCCTGTCCCAGCTGGACTGACCCCTCCAGCAGCCCCCAGCCCTGTGGACGGTCCTCACGCCAGGCAATGCACTAAGACTCCACACAGAAACACTGGGCATGCATGGAAGAATGGGGGGGAGAGGCGTGGGGGGAAAGCAGCAGAAGAAACAGTCATGGAACTGTTAAAAGGATGGTGTTAAACCCTCATTCATCCCTGCTCCACTGGGGATGGAGGGAGGATGTCACACCTTGGGTAATAAAACCATCCATCAGCTCCCACCACACCTTCGGCTGCTCTTGTTGCCCTTGGCAGCACCATGTGGGGCTGTGGATCCATTGGATCCATCCTGGGCCACAGCTGCTGGTGCTGGGTGGGCTCCTTGGTGTTGCCAGCCCCTGTGCCAGACCGTGGGTTGTGTGCTGAGATTTCCAGTCTCTGGAAAGACACTGGTGGTGTTTGCAGGAGGGTGTTGCACCTCCTGAGCTCATTTCAACCCTCTCCCAGCTTTGGTTTGACTCAATTAAGTAATTTTCTCAACGTTTTTCATTTTCTCGCTCGGTCTGAGATGCTGAGGTCAAGTACACACAGCTGTGAGGGGACAGTTTTCCACAACCCAAATCTGAACTAAAACCTCCACTCTGACTGTTTAAACTTTGATTGCATAGATAAGAAACTCTTGGCCACGTTTCCCTTTCACCCGAAATGGGATTTTAAGCTGTCCTGTGCATCTCCACTGCTCTGGCGGCAGGAAGGGAGCCAGGAGCTGGCTGGGGACAGCACAGGCTTTCCTGGATTAGCTTCCAGCTCTTTCTTTTCTAAACACCCTGCGAGCAAGACAGGGTGGGATGAGGGAAGGTGGGAAAAGAGACGAGGGACAGAAGGGATGCGAAGATGACCTTAGTGGTTGTCCTCATGGAGGGATGGAGGAGGAGGTCTCCAAAGCCCACATCTCATCACCCTGGCCCCCGCCTCCCCCAGGCTCCTGGGGCAGGGGCCGGGGCGCTCCCCACCCTTGGCGGGCTCCGAGAGGCCGGAGAATCCAAAACAACAGGGCTGAGGCACGGGAACGTCATCGCCCGGCCCTTGGAGCAGCGCCCTTGGCAGGAGCTGTGCTGTGGCCGAGCGCTCCGTGTCCCTGCCGCCAGCATCCAGGGACACCAGGCCAGTGCCCAAGGTCACACGTGCTGCATCTGCTGTCTGCAAAGGGATTCAGTCCCTTCCAGCTGGGAGAAACCACTGCATTCCCAGCTCTGCTTTGAGTTCCAGACTCGGGCATCTCTGCTACCTGCAGATGTTGCACTGTGGTCCCCAAGACTTGGAGTGATTCCTGTTCCCAGTCCCCTCTCCCTGGGCTGGGATGGCTGAGTGTGGACGTTGTGGGATGCCCATGGCTGTGATGGAGCAGGGATGGCACCCAGGACTGACAGACCCAGGTGGCAAACACTGGTGGGGAGGCCTGGAAGAGCAGAGCTTGCTTTGCTTTTTGCTCCAGAAATGTGTCATCTTTTGGACAGATGAGCTAGTCTGAGCTTGTCCACTTCATGGAGCTCTGGAAAAGCCTTTTTCCTGCCCTTGAGCTCCCCGTGTGTGTCTGGAGAATGCTCCAGAACGGAGCTGACTCTGCTGCTGCTCTTGAGTTTCCACAAGGGACTGGGCAGTGGGGATCCCCCAAAAGTGCAGAACCCCAAGGAACAGCCTCATCTCCATTGGTGTCCATGGGCAACGCACCCAAACCTGGCACCTCCATCCTGAGGGACCTCCCTGGTGGTGGCATCAGTGTCTGACCTGGTGGCCAGCAGCAGAGGAGTTATGGTGGCAGCATCCACCTCCAACACAACATAGCCCCAGAATTTCTCTTCCTCTCCCCAAAACCCTGAAGTGCCTCATGGTGGGGCCAATGAGGCCCAGCTGGGTGTGACAGCGGGGGGACAGCAGCCCAGCTGCCTCAGAACTGGGAGCTGGGCTCCTGTTCCACCACCACTCCAACACAGCAGCCGCATGCACGGCTCATCCCTTCCCAAATTCGGTTGTTCTTCCGCTCTGATCACAGCTCGGGACGGGCGCCAGTGCGTAATCCATCAGCGAGGGGTGGTTTCAATTTTCTCCTTGGAGGACTTCTGGGTTCTGCAGGAGGGTGAATGAACCCGCATGGAAGCTTCTGGCAGCTTTAACCAGCTCCCAGAGTGACCCATCCTTGTTATCCGTGGGGATTGCCGGGTAAGGCTTTGTTTTCCACGCGTGGTTTCCATCAGCCCACTCCGCTGCCGCTGTCTTGGATAAGGGCTCAGATAAAATGTCCTAGCCTTGATCCAACAAATGATCCTCACTTGTTCCAGTGAGGCAATGTCCACGTGCACCAGCTCTTTCCTTCACCCATCCCATGGGGAACTTGGATGGGACGGGCAGGTCACCCTGTTTCCTTTTGGACATCAGCTCCCTCTGCAAGGTTGGTATCTCCACCCGTGTCCTTTGGGAGCTGCTGTGCCTCAGGACAAAGGGCTGGATGGCTCCAGGAGCTGCCCAAAACCAGTGATGGGCTCTGGTGCCTGCTGGCGTGAGAGGGGGGAAAAAAGTGGGGCTGATGGGATCCATCTGGAAGGAAGCGGGATCATCCCTGTAAACACCTCTTACGCACTCGGAGCCTGCACTGGTGTCATTGTGGCTTTTCAGGACTAAACAAACCCCATCCTTCCAATTTCCCCGAGGTCACAGTGTCACAGATGGTTTAATTCCTGACTTTGGGACACGCTTGTCCACACCAGGGGCTGCACTGGGGGTGAGGGGATGTGCTTCCCAGCAGCCTCCTGCTCCCGCATGGAAATGAGCAGCTCCCTGGAGAAGCCTCTCAGCACAGGGAGGGCCGTGCTGGCCACTCCCTCCTCGCAGGGCCATCGGTGCCCAGCGCTGCCCTCTTCCCTCCCGCTCACCTCCCAGGTCAGCCACAGGAAACGGGAGAGAGAGATCCGGAGCAGGGATCCGGGGCAGGCGGGATGGAGGCAGCGGGTACCACCCATGCCACACCTCTGCCCTGCCCCGGAGGGCTGCCCTCTCCCTGGGGACTGCTCCGGGGCAAGCCAGGCTGCTCCAGCAGCTCCTGCTCCTGCAATGCAGGCCAGCAGGGATGGGGACTCCCGGCTGGGAATCACAGTCAGGATTCCAGCAAAAAATCGTTGCTTCACCTTCCCTTCCCACATGGAGGTTCCCACTCCAAACCAAGCAAACTTCTCCTGGCAACAGTCCCTTTCTCCCTTCTTCCTCCACTGCCCAGCCCTGGAGCAGAAAGGTTCAGAGGGAAATAAAGACATGAAAAAACAAGATTTTTCTTTGGAAAATCCCAAGCTTGCTTGCACTGTGCCTTCAGAGACGTTTCCCTGGAAAAATGGCTGTTTGGGAACCCTTTCACCCACTTCCCAGAGCTGGGAACAGCCTTCAGTGTGAGTGAAGCCATTGGGAGCAAAGCTCTCCTCCCAAGACTCCCACACTAAGGGCTGAAACTCCTTGGAGCAGCCCCAGAACTTCACCATCCGGTCTGGGATGGGGAATGTGGCTCTAGGTGCAGCCAGCCCAGGCTGTGCAGGGACAGAAGACACGGGCAAGGCTGCAGGGCTGGATGGATCTGAGCCCTGCACTCCCTCCCATCATCAACCTGCTATGGAATCCTCATCCCATCTGCTCCTTCCCCTCCCCTGGGATGGGAGGGATCCAGCCAAAGGGTGGGAACACAGCTGATGGAGGTGATGACATCTAAAAGCCAGCCTGTGGTGAGGTTCTGAAAGAACACACACAGCCCCTGGAGGTGCTGAAAGCCATTCCCTTCAGGAATAAACCAGGACCCCATTTCAGCCAGGCTTCCCAAAGCAGCATGGACTTCTGGGAGTGCATTCCAAGGACAAGAGTTTTCCTAGAAGAACTGAACTACATGCCTTCATCTGAATCCTCACCATTCCAAGGATTTAGGTTAAAAGAGGCTCAGGAAATTTGTGTTTGTTCCAGTTTGGGAATGGAGTTGCTTAGAAAGGACTGGAAATTCAAGCTGTGCATTACAGAATTCCCACCCTGGAGGTTCAGTCAGGATCCTTGTTTGGTGCCAGACCAAGATGTGAACACCTAAACCTCGTGGAAAGCATTTCTAAGGATAAAGGAGTCCATGTCTGCCATGACTTGCTCCTACCAGCTCCATGTCATAGGAGAAGGGGACAGAAAATGCCATGGACACCCAGCACCCTCCACACCCCAGTCCTCGAAGGACAAATATTCCATGATCCTAAAACAAGCACTCTGTGAGTGGGCCAGGACCAAAACCACTGGGAATGTTTGAGCAAGCACTGCTGCTGCTGCTGGGCAAAATCATGGAAGCCCTGGAAGCTTTGTCTGGAGGTGGGAAAGGCTTTGGAAGCTGGCTCTGAACACATCCCACAGCAGGGGGGAAGGGTGGAAGGAAGCAGGGGTTTTTGGTTGGAATTTGGGGCTTTTTTTCCTGTCTTTCTCCCTGCTGGGGCTCTGCAGCCATTGTTGTGTTCTCCAAAGAGTCTGGCCCCACACTGCAATAAAAACAAACCACAGGAAGGAAAGGAATTAGCAGGGAAAGGAAAAGCAGCAGTGGGAACAAGGACTCAGGCCCAAAATAAACCCACTGGCTGCTGCTGGGGGTGCAGGTAGGAGAGGTTGCACAATGGAGATTAAGGGGTGAAATCCTGGCTTTTTGGATTTATTACTACAGGTGAGCAGGGTTGCAAGTGGCTGGAATAACAGGAAACAGCCCTATGCACTGGGATATGGGAATTTCCTTGAAATCTGAGGTTTCCTAGAAACTTGAACTAAGAAGGGAGCAGAGGCAGCACCTGGAAAAGACTGGGCATCGTGGGCAGAGGAAGCAGCTTCAGCTGGGGTTACCACTTTATCCTTATGGATTCTAAGGAGAAGCAGAGACCAAGGGTTTGGCACTGCAGGTTTGTCTCAGCTGCTCCCCAAGCCCCTGCTGTGCTCTGCCAAGGCAAATGTACACAGGATCCAACAGGAAATCTTCCCGGGGCTGCTGCTTCCCCTGCGTCACTCCCACTGGAGCTGCAGGGGTGGGTGGGACTTGCTGGACCCAGGGCAGCGTGGACACAGGGGCTGTGCTCACCTTGAGCTGCTCCTGCTCCCAAGGAAGGGAATAAACTGAAAACAAAACCACCTTGAGGCTGCGTCTGCTGCTCCCCTGGAGACACTTCCCTGTAGCCCATCCACTTCCCAAATAGGGAATGGGGCAGGGAGAAGCTGGAAGGATCCCACCTCCCAC